ATGTCCATGTATATGCCCATGTATATGTCCATGTATATGCCCATGTATATTCCCATGTATATGTCCATGTATATGTCCATGTATATGTCCATGTATATGCCCATGTATATGTCCATGTATATGTCGATGTATATGTCCATGTATATGTCCATGTATATGTCCATGTATATGATGTAACTATTGTACACGCCCATTTCCTTTTAGTTCGTCCCACTAACCCAGCTCCAACTGCAAGCCTACAACCAGTCCCGCATCTGTTTACTATATTTGGACTTCGCCTCAATTTAGTGATTCCTGAGTCTCAACCCGGAGTCGTAGAAGAGGTGTCGTGAACATATTTTCTTCAACACTCCAGAGATCACTTGAATCACTTTATTCTATCCACCACCCCACTCCCCTTTTTTTTTCAGTACTGTCTGTCCTGGTGGCACTGTCCACACAGCAACCAGTCAACACGCCCCAGTACAAGAGTATCGCCAGCTGTGACGAAGTTTGTCCAAGAAACACACAGGCTACGTGCAGGTAAGGGGGGCTACTGTAATTACTATCATTGACTTTAATTGTAAATTGCAGTAACAGTGGCTTAGATCAGAAGAGTTCCGCTAACAAGGGAAACTATTATTAGACATTCTATTTTTAGATTTCTTCACCTTGACATGTATGCTTTTGTTCTGTCTCCAGACTGGACTGTCTCACTGTTTCTGCGGACGGCAAATCTGGCACGGATTGTGTCAACCATTTCTACGATACGGACGGCAGCATCTATTGGTGCTGGCTCTAAGGGTGGCTAATGATGGACAGCTGGACACCCCCAGACGCTGATCTGATGACCAAATGTGTGTTCCGCTGAACCACCCCCCCCCCCCCCCCCCCCCCCCCCCCCCCCCCCCCCCCCCCCCCCCCCCCATTTCTACGATACGGACGGCAGCATCTATTGGTTCTGGGTCTAAGGGTGGCTAATCATGGACAGCTGGACACCCCCAGACGCTGATCTGATGACCAAATGTGTGTTCCGCTCAACCACCCCCCCCCCCACCCTTTCCCGCCCCAACCCCCTACCCCTTCCCCCAAGCTGTATCAAACTAAACGAACTGTAATGTCAGTGACAATAATATTTTCGGTTGATTTAATACAAAAATATTTGTTTATGTTTGATCTGTTCCAAAAGTATTGTTTCCAACGTCTAGTCTACCAACACGCCCAAATAATGGCTTCGTAAGATAACCAGCTGTTGTTCTTTTTTTAATTTTCTCATATGTAATATTTACCGATCAAGGCTTCTACCTAGGAGGTCATCTGCTGAAGCCCCGCCGCCCATGTGTCAAGACTTAATGTATCTAAATAATTAAACAATTAGTACGCACATCCACGGGATTTGTAAATTGTAAACTATTTATCAAATTTAAAATAAATTTTAGCACCACCGTTATAGCCCAGCAACAGCGTTATGTTCTTTAACCACTGCTTTGAAGTCATCAGCCTAAAATCCCCGAGAGCACGACCAGTTATCATCATGTCATTTCCTAAATTAGCTCACGACCAGTTATCAACAAGTCATTTCCTACCCGAGATCACGACCAGTTATAAACAACTCATTTTGTACCTGAGATCACATACATTCAACCATATTTCAAACAAGAATTTAACATTTCAATAATATAAATGGCTGCCTACATGATTGTCTTCTAATTCTGACACAGTTTGCTGGATGGAGTAATGGAGTATCTTTTCACGCTTAAAATTACTAACAGTGCTTTAAGAAAATAATTTTCTAAAAACATGTTTTAATGAGCTGATCGCGTGCACAATATGCTTTGTTCAACGCTCGTGTATGCGCGCGAACACACACACATGCACCCAAACACACATATACTCACACAAACACACACAAACACACACTAGCGTATTCTTTATCTGTATAAAATAAGTGTATAAAAAGTAATTATTTTAATCTTAAATGGAAGTAAGAAATGAGTTTAAATAAAGATGTCCAACAAATAACATTAAGATGTCCAACAAATAATATTAAGATGTCCAACAAATAACATTAAGATGTCCAACAAATAACATTAAGATGTCCAACAAATAACATTAAGATGTCCAACAAATAACATTAAGATGTCCAACAAATAACATTAAGATGTCCAACAAATAACATTAAGATGTCCAACAAATAACATAAAGATGTCCAACAAATAACATTAAGATGTCCAACAAATAACATTAAGATGTCCAACAAATAACATTAAGATGTCCAACAAATAACATTAAGATGTCCAACAAATAGCATTAAGATGTCCAACAAATAACATTAAGATGTCCAACAAATAACATAAAGATGTCCAACAAATAACATTAAGATGTCCAACAAATAGCATTAAGATGTCTAACAAATAACATTAAGATGTCCAACAAATAACATTAAGATGTCCAACAAATAACATTAAGATGTCCAACAAATAACATTAAGATGTCCAACAAATAGCATTAAGATGTCCAACAAATAACATTAAGATGTCCAACAAGTTGCATTAAGATGTCCAACAAATAACATTAATATGTCCAACAAATAACATTAAGATGTCCAACAAATAACATAAAGATGTCCAACAAATAACATTAAGATGTCCAACAAATAGCATTAAGATGTCCAACAAATAACATTAAGATGTCCAACAAATAGCATTAAGATGTCCAACAAATAACATTAAGATGTCCAACAAATAGCATTAAGATGTCCAACAAATAACATTAAGATGTCCAACAAATAAAGATGTCCAACAAATAACATTAAGATGTCCAACAAATAGCATTAAGATGTCCAACAAATAACATTAAGATGTCCAACAAATAGCATTAAGATGTCCAACAAATAACATTAAGATGTCCAACAAATAACATTAAGATGTCCAACAAATAACATTAAGATGTCCAACCAATAACATTAAGATGTCCAACAAAGAACATAAAGATGTCCAACAAATAGCATTATGATGTCCAACCAATAACATTAAGATGTCCAACAAATAACATAAAGATGTCCAACAAATAACATTAAGATGTCCAACAAATAGCATTAAGATGTCCAACAAATAGCATTAAGATGTCCAACAAATAACATTAAGATGTCCAACAAATAGCATTAAGATGTCCAACAAATAACATAAAGATGTCCAACAAATAGCATTAAGATATCCAACAAATAGCATTAAGATGTCCAACAAATAGCATTAAGATGTCCAACAAATAGCATTAAGATGTCCAACAAATAGCATTAAGATGTCCAACAAATAAAATTAAGATGTCCAACCAATAACATTAAGATGTCCAACAAATAACATTAGATGTCCAACAAATAACATTAAGATGTCCAATCAATAACTTTAAGATGTCCAACAAATAACATAAAGATGTCCAACCAATAACATAAAGATGTCCAACAAATAACATAAAGATGTCCAACAAATAACATAAAGATGCCCAACCAATAACATAAAGATGTCCAACAAATAACATAAAGATGTCCAAAAAATATCATCAAGACATGTCCAACATTTCGATAGGTCCAATAAATAACATTTAAATATATCCAACAGATAAAACAGATTCAGAATCTTAATTGTTTCCTTTTTAAAATCAACACAACTAATCAATTGTGCCAGATAAACGTTGTGTGAAAGTAAATATTCTGAAAGTGGATGCAATCCTTGTTATAACTCTTATGTTATGTTCAGTGGTTGGAGTCTAATAGTCAAACAAGTTGTACAATTGATAGGGTGCGAAACGAAGCGGTCAAATTATATTCAGAAGTCACACACAAACTAAAGTAGACCTGTCAATTCCTAAACTGAATTTTGTTTCTTTAAACTTATTTCTAAAGAGATCTATGTTAATGGTAGAGGTGCGATAATTTGTTTAATTATTTTAATGTTACTGTTTTTGGTCATCTGAACAAGACATTATTGCAGATATACCATATACGTTAGGCTAATTTTTTAAACAAAATAAATCGAAATAATTTTTTTTTAAAAGAAAGTAAAAACCTATAAATGTTACCAGCTTAATCTGCTTCATTTGATTATTAAACCAAATCTATTTTTAATACTTCGGGAGGATACGGAAGAAAAAAAACTGGGGTTTTTTTTTTAAATGAAAAGTGAAATCAAAGGATACGTGAGAAAAAAGTTGGGAACCTTTGATGTTAAATAACTTTCGAAATGTCCACACTTTTTATAAACATCTGGTTATTTTGAACACTAAGAAAAATGTTTATGAGGATTTCTTTTGCGGACTATACAGGCAGGACATACTATTCTAGAGAATGTCAGATTTCTTTTGGGGACCATACGGGACATCAGATTCTAGAGAATGTCAGATTTCTTTTGTGGACTATATGGGACATCATGTTCTAGAGAATTTCAGATTTCTTTTTGGGACTATACGGGACATCAGATTCTAGAGAATGTCCGATTTCTTTTGGGGACTATACGGGAAATCAGATTCTAGAGAATGTCAGATTTCTGGGAACATCAAAATATTGAGAACATGCTATTTCAAAAGGGATTATAAAGGATATCAGATTAATTTGGGACTATTAGCTTACATCAGCTTAAAAGAAAAATCAGATTAAAAGGACTATAAGATTATAAGGAACATCGATTATGGAGAATGGATTTTTGGGAACCTCAGATTATTGAAAATGTTTTATTATAAGAACCAAAGGCTTACATGGGACATCAGATATTTGGGGACTATTAGGAACATAAATTATTGGATAACGTTGAATTATTGGGTACATCTGATTATGAAGAACATGAGAACCCTTTGGAACATCAAAGTAACAAACCCATAATCCATTAATAAAGAACTTATAAAGCACCAGTGACGTCGAAGGGGTGGAGTGGGGGGAGGGGAAAGGGCTTTAGGCCCGGGCGTCACATTTTAAAAATTTATTAGTTTACGAAAAAAAAAAAGGGGGGGGGGGGATTTGTGGCAAATGGCTAACTCCAGCTACGGCACAGTGAATGACGAATGAACCACATCAAATCCGGACCACAGCATACCTACGGCTTAACGACTCTGATCGATATTCGTACCTCTTCATTTGGTGAATAAACAAACACGGGATTACTGTAGTGTGACGAGCCACTGACCTAATTTCACCAAGCCCAAGGTCTAATTCTATGCGGTACTTAGCAGAAGGCAGACGGAATTGTTAGGAATGGTTGTACCATTGACAACCACGTCTAAGACCACAACGGTTGTTGATGTGTAGCCTGCAGACAACACATTGCTACATGCGTGTTACTCTCATTGTGTGCTGTTGATGTCAACACTATAAATCATCTGACAGGTATGTGATTTTTTTTTTAAAAGGAAGGAAATATAAATTTAGTTATGATTATACTAAAATTTATTTAGATTAAATTTGTAAAACTTATACAAAGATGAAAATATTGAAATTCAGCTTCATCACCCGAGAAATTTATAATTTAATACTATACTATACTATGGCCTAACCGGGGGCAATATATTTTACACCTGGTATGGGTATCTTGAGAAAATATCAAGTGGGTCCAAGAGCTACCAAAAAAAAAAAAAAAAGTTAACTTCTCATTTTCTCTAATATGCAACGAAATCTGCTGTCCTATGTCGTAGTGGGTTATTTCTTGACACAAACGGTTGACAGAGGCAATGCACTCTCACTACGACATAGGGCAAGAGATTCGTTGCATAAATAGAAAAAGAAAAGTACACTTTTTTTTTTGTAACTCTTGGACCCACTGGCTTAACAATTTTTTTTTTTGTGCTTTTTTTTTTACACGGTGTCCGAGTTATTTTGAGTAAAAATGTCTTTCTTAATTAAGAAAATAAAATGAACCTATTTAGCCTATTTACCGAACTTGAGACTCTACGCATGAAGCTCGCTGTGTGATAGAGAACACGAACAATAACAATACCGGAATAGTCCCCTCTCCCTAAAAGAAAAAAAATAATAACTTTTTTTATCTGAGTTTAACCATCAGGCATGACACTCGCTGAGTGACAACTTTTCCCCTCAGTACATTAATATAAAACATGTTAGGTGGGGGGGGGGGTCAGGCTGTGAAAACGAAGCAGGACACATCAGAAGCAACATAGAGAGAGAGAGATATAGAGAAAGAGAGAGAGAGAGAGAGAGAGAGAGAGAGATAGTGTTATATAGGGTTTTCAACAACACGTCCCCCAGAATGCTACGTTTTAATGATCTCATGTTACTTTAGGTTTTCTAGAAAGATGTACAATGGCGCGTGTCTGAGTCTAGTTAGTGATGATATTCTTCATGAAATATGAGATTTTCTGGGGAGTTACATTGGCTACTTTTAAACAACTAAAATTTCTCACCCCTTGCGGGATAATAAGGAGATCTTACCGCCCCTTCAGATGGATTGTCACCCTTTCCTTAAACTGGTACTGGTAGAATGGGATAACGCTTCATTTATTTAAGAGTTTATTTTAGAATAATAAACTTAACTATACGTTTTCAGTGTAATAGTTCTGTCACTGCCACTAGAAATAGCGTGACAACTGCAACCATTGGCTACGGAATGAATGTGACTAAGACAACCGTCCAATCAACAGCCAAGGCTCTTAGCGGATTAACACCGATGACCAACACTGTCCACCGTGCTCCGTCCCTCAAAGACACACTGCAGAATGCCCCGCCCATCAACGACGCCCTTCAGCCGGACATCTTCAGCCGTCTGGACGCCGAGGTCATCGAGAGGACAAGAGTGGCCAACACTCAGCTGGACATGAGGCTGCACTTGCAGGAAAACATCATTCGTAAACACAGGTGAGGGAAGCTCCAAACTAGGTGTACTATAATACAGGTGTGTCATTGCTATGTATGATACAATTTAATTGTTGAGTGATTGCTGTGATACTAATTAATTTGTGTGGTTGCTATGATAAAATTTAATTGTTGTATGATTGCTATGATACACTTTTAATGTTGTGTGAGTGCTGTGATACAATACATGTGAGTGATTGCTATGGTGCAATTTAATAGTTGTATGATTGCTATGATACAATTTAATTTTTGTGCTTGTTATGATACAATTCAGGTGTGTGATTGTTAAGATACAATTCAGGTGTGTGATTGTTATGATACAATTCAGGTGTGTGATTGTTATGATACAATTCAGGTGTGTGATTGTTATGATACAATTCAGGTGTGTGATTGTTATGTTACAATTCAGGTGTGTGATTGTTATGATACAATTCAGGTGTGTGATTGTTATGATATAATTCAGGTGTGTGATTGTTATGATACAATTTAATTTTTGTGCTTGTTATGATACAATTCAGGTGTGTGATTGTTATGATACAATTCAGGTGTGTGATTGTTATGATACATTTCAGGTGTGTGATCGTTGTGATAAAATTCAGGTGTGTGATTGGTATGATACAATTGTTATAACCATGTTAGATATAACTTAAAAAAAGACTTGAACTATTGTTTTGGGTTCGGTCATTTCCTGTTGACATACTTCTCGAAATTTCATTATTTATACAACCCCCTGTTCCAGACACGAGGCAGAAAGATGTCTGCTGACAGAAAAGTCACGAGTGGTTGACGATTTAAACAGAATAACGAGCAGAATGCCGGCAATGGCCAGGATTCAAGACTTTGATGACAAATTCTTTACAAGACGCTCCACTACAGACCCGTCTCACCTGGTCAGTTTTAGATATTCGAGTTAAGACATTGTGTATTTAATCTTATCAGTGGCGCATCTAGCGAGGGTTAAATGGCACATACAGATATTTGAAAAGGGGGAAAGATCAATAGATCACCCCCACACACACACAACCTGTTTCGTCACGGTACCAATTACCTTTTTTTAAAATCTATTTATTTTATTGATTGAAAAAAAGTTTTGTTTGAACTATTTAAACTTGATCAAAACGAAGCCATTTTTTTTTTTTTTTTTTTTTTTTTTTTTTTTGTGGGGGCGTACCTAACATCACATTGACACAAATTTAAAACATTCACCCATTGCCCCTTGGGGAGATTTTCACTTTTGAAATTTAGAATCTTATTAGATAATCTTTTCATAGATTACGTTACATCTGTCAACATTATTCCCCTGTAAATTCCGAGCCTCGAGAAAATGGCCCGCAGGTGCAACTCCAACCCTTATTACAGGGCCTGGTGCCATTCATAGATGAGTTCTTAATACCACTTCCTTTTTATCGCCAGCGTCACAAGAAGAATTACGAATCTGAGAAGAATGAAGGTCCTATCTGTGAACGGTGTTACATTCATCACATGCCTCTCAAGAAAAAATTCTATCGGAAAGTCACCCCCGACCCGATACTCCCAGCTGAAGATTCCAGCCCCCATCAAATACTGAGTGAGAGTCCGGCCAAAGACGTTTTCCCACACGGCTCATTGCCGATTACAGAAGACACACTTTTGCAGAACAACGATGCACTCCGCTCGGCAGTTTCTGGCAGACGACAGTACATTCCCGGCTCGGAGGATGTGTACAGATTTTTAGACCGAGACACGCTTGGGCGGGAAAAGGACCTGAACCAAATACAGACACCGCGTCTGATGCCCAATGAGATCTGGAAAGGATTAGTGAAGAACGTCTGTGACCAGCTCGTTGGCAGAGATCTCAAGCCGTGCGGCAAAAGGACGAGGGAGCTGAGCCGCGGGGACACCAGGGCGTCCCAGAGCGGTAAAGGCAATAAGGAGCGCAGCCGTTCGTTTTTGACCTTATCTCGGGCATCATCGAAACTCAGCAAAAGGTCAGATACCGCGAGCAGCATGCGTCATGGCAAACTGAAGTCCGGCACCAGATCACTCAGCAGGTCAGACACGTCCGCCGGTAAAGCAACCCTGAAATCTGCTGGCCGAGGCACTGGCACAGATGGTGACGTGGGGTAAAGACACTTTTTGGAATTCATCTAAATGTCATCATCTTTGGAGAGTATCTCAATGAATTTAGTAAATCTTGTTTATATAACTTGGGGCAACAAAATGTTGGATTTAAAATAAAAATAAAAATGATTCTGATGGGGTACTGTTTTGTTGTGAATAAATTCAAATGCAGTTCGGACTAGATATCTCATATGTTTTAGTGTAATTAAATCATTATTCAATAATTACTAGATCCAATATAAAATGCAAAAATAATTATCCACTGACAATATTATATTTAATAAAATATTAATTGACATTTTTTTTCTTCTGAATATGAAGAGCTGCCGACGTCATAAAATCTTGTCAGATATCTCTAATCCTCGACCCCACTATCTCCACACACACACACACACACACACACACACACACACACTCACTCACTCACACAAATATGCCAGACAATGGATGCCAAATCATACTGTTCTATTTGAGTACTCTTTGAAATGCCTAACAGATCCATTAAAGAGAATCCAACGACTCATGTTAATTTAAGATTAAACCACGCCCTAACGTTCACCCAACAATCAGTGGTCGCCGATGGAGGGAGAGAAGATGGCGCTGAAGTCGCTAACTTGGACCAGAAAGATAAGCGGCCGCAGCACTGCACGGGCAACACACCAAACGTCCAGCGTGGACCATCCAGCAAATAATCAGCTGCAAGTCTAACCAGCGACACGTTCCTGTAGTTTAGGCCCCTATACATAAAACTGTCAATGTCATCAGCGTGGTCAGTAGATCCACTGCCCACAAAACAATAGAAACATTGCATTTTTTGTGATCCGAAATTTGATCATCTCAATTATAGAACATTTGTTAGCTAAACTAAATATTAAAGGCTGTAAGTTGTTCACAACTTCTCAGATAACATTTACAATGAATATGTAGTAAACTTACTCTGGCATATACATGCAGTACATCGGCGCCCTGCAATCTAATTCATTATTTCTCTACTATAGTCTACTGGCTCAAAAACGCGTAGTTTGTAATGTCGGGTTGTTAATAAAGTTACTAGGAAACTTTTGTTCCAAGGGACAGACCGACGCGTCACGCAATCGTTAATCTTTAAATGCGAAGGTCACCTCGTTCTTTGGTCAGATCAATAATTAAATTAAAGCCAGATTGAAATGGTTGACAAAAATCTCTGGCGTTGCTGAACAAAAAAGTTCCGACACAAATTAAAGCGTCCATTGTACAACACAACAATGCCGTGGATCAAACTCAATCTTTTGATGTGGGGACTGACTTTGTGTGCATGGTCGGCTTTTGATGTGGCGACTGACTTTGTGTGCATGGTCGGCTTTTGATGTGGGGACTGACTTTGTGTGCATGGTCGGCTTTTGATGTGGGGACTGACTTTGTGTGCATGGTTGGCTTTTTATTGTCGTGTATAACTTGTATTTTATATTTTACCAAAGTCATTCGGATCCCTGTCAAATGCGTGTGCTCCAAGTCACTCCCAGACACATTCAGGTATTGGGAGACGCTTGAGCACACAATGGGGTTACAGCAGGCCTGCACAGCATGCGGCCCGCGGGCCACATTCGGCCCGCCAGCATCCACTTTGCGGGCCGCGAAGTAACGAAATATTTTTTATTCTTAATATTTTCTTAATAAATTTCCCTATTTTCTTTTCGCCTACACAAGTCCTGTCCTATTTTCGTTTGGCCCGCTCAATTGTTTCATAAAGTGTTACAGCCCGCATTACATTTTGAGTTGTGCAGGCCTGGTTTACAGCGTAGCCTACTCTCCGACCGTCTCGGCCATAAACTTTGGTGTATCAGCTTGCCACTCACGTATTGTTCCAACATTTAAAAAGAGTAACATGTTGATAGATTTCAGATGTTCACATTTAATTTATTCCTCTAGGACAAGGTGACCAAATCATAAACTGGAAAAAACGGGACACAGCCAAGGAGGGTTTGAGGGGATAACCTCCAGCTAAAGAGGGGTCCGAGGGCCTCCGCCGGAAACTATTTATTGAAATATGTCCATTTTAACTATTTTGAGAGCTGCAAATCTATTTAAATTTACCTTCACTTTTGTAATTTAATTTAAACTCTGAGGCATATCTTAAGCGAAAACAATAATTTTGCAGCGTCGGCAGAGTGGTGGGTGGTAGAGTGCAGCCATCACGCGAGCCCACATCACTAGTTTCACTGGCTACACAGCTAGCCAAAAAATTACTTGAAGTTTTATTATAAATTAGGACGTTTTAGTGATTTGAAAATGTGTTTGGTTTTAGAAACGGGACATTTAGGCGTCCCGAGAGACTTTTTCGGGACACCGGGTACGATTGTTAAAAAACGGGACAATCTGGTTTGTTACGGGACGTTTGGTCCCCCTACACTAAGAGTAAATGACATACGAGTTTTTCTACTGCTCAGAGTTGGGGCTGTGGAACATGTGGATGATCAGCTGCATAGGAAGGGGGTGCGGAGGAGGCGTCCCAACCGGGAAGTGGCTTTTTCTTTACATGGAGAGGCGGTATTTTCGGCCACCTTCATGGCTTTTCGTGGAGAGGGAAGTGGGAAAAGCCTGGACCCGGCCCAAGCGGCATCAACTCTAGCTACGTCTCTGAGTATGCTCATTTAAATATTAATAATTCGTCATTATCACCATTCAGATCAGTGGCGTGGCGTAGGAGGAGGTGTGGAGGGGTTGTCCGTCCCGGACTTCTTTATTTATATAGAGAGATGGCGTTTTAAGCTAACTGCTGAGTTTTTTTTTGTTTTTTTTTGTGGGAAGGGGTGGCAAAATTCTCGGCCCGCCCCGGGTGGCACTAACCCTAGCTAGGGAACTGACTCAGATCTATTGACCATTTGGGCATGCAACATTCGGACTAAGGCCATCTTAAGGAATTTACACACTCTCCGCAGCTGTTCTTTGTTGGCATGTAAGGTGTTGGTGTACTCTGGTAGGGTGTCTTTTTGTATATTGTGGTGACCTGGTATATTGTGGTGTCCTGATATTCATTTTAAGGTTTGCTTAACTGCACAGGTTTCGAGGAAGGTGTTTATATTCAGAAATAGTGATTTTACTGCTGTTGTGATATCTTGTTACTCAGAGGCTTGAAGTATTGACTTGCAATCGGAGAAGACATAAAACATCTTCTTCTTCTTATAGTTGTGGGGCCCACGATCAATTTGTTGATCATTCTGGCTCCTAGTTTAAATTCGAAGTTTGCCTTCTCTTCGATGGGTTGCCGTCCAAGGCTGACGAGTCCCATCCACCCGGGGTGCCTGGGATGTTGGCTATGGTGGGGATACCATGCAGCTATTTGGTTTGAGACAGTTTAGACCGCTCGACCACCCGGCACCTTGCTTTGTTTGCTGTGATAAACTGTGAAGATCACAGATGGGTGGTGTAACGCTGATTCAATAACACTGCTGCCTCTCTTCTAATATTTAGTGGCTCAATATTAATGGGGTTTTTTCACATGCTGTTGATGGGGTAGATTTTAGACCTTCGTAATGTTGTATTCCCACTATCACACATATCCTATGTACCGTCTAATCTTGTCACTGTCCCCATAGGGCACTGGCTAGGCAGTCTGGTCGTGTCACTGCCCCATAGGGCACTGGTTAGGCAGTCTGGTCTTGTCACTGCCCCCATGGAGCACTGGCCAAACTTTTAACAAGATTTAGCCTAGAAATGTTGGGTTGTCTAACTTGACACAGAAATGTTGGGTTGTCTAGCTTGACACAGAAATGTTGGGTTGTCTAACTTGACACAGAAATGTTGGGTTGTCTAACTTGACATAGAAATGTTGGATTGACTATCTAATTGGACACCTAGATTATGAGTTGGCTTATCTAACATATGCCCACATCACAAAGTCACCTGCATAGAGTGCGTCCTCCACCTGTAGTTCGTCCGGTAATTCATTCATAAAAATTAGGAATAAGGTACAATTCAGTGACGAACTTTGTGGAAGCTCTTCTTCAATGACACACTTTGATGAGGTGGCACCATTTCTTTTTATTTGGATTGTACGATCAGTAAGAAAGAACTTTAAACATTTGTACAACTTGCCGTGAATCCCTGCATTGTTTACCTTCTAGAATAAGCCACATTCTATCATAGGCGTGTGCACCATTCAAAACTGAGATAACGCAGTGGGCCACATACTAAGTTTTCTAACTTGCCGGTTAGGGTGAGTCCCATCTTTAAGGAAATGGATGAATGTGTGTCTATTGGATGTCTGTCTGTTGGATATATGTCTATTTGATGTGTGTCTATTGAATGTGTGTCTATTGAATGTGTGTCTGTTGGATGTATGTCTATTGGATGTGTGTCTATTGGATGCCTGTCTATTGGATGTGTGTCTATCGAATGTGTGTCTATTGAATGTGTGTCTGCTGGAGGGGTGTCTATTGGATGTGTGTCTGTTGGATGTCTGTCTGTTGGATGTGTCTGTTGGATGCGTGTCTGTTGGATGCGTGTCTGTTGGATGTGTGTCTATTTGGATGTCTGTCTGTTGGATGTGTGTCTGTTGGATGTGTGTCTGTTGGATGTGTGTCTGTTGGATGTATGTCTGTTGGATGTGTGTCTATTTGGATGTGTGTCTATTTTCTTACAGGTTAACGGTTTAATAAAAATCAAATTCTTTAAATAATATACAAGAACTAACTTTTGTTGTGATCACCCCTTTTTTTAAAGAAGAAAATACAGTTCAGAGGCGTTGTTAAAATGGTTGGGACGGTATATTCGCAAATGTCTATAGTTTAAGGACGTGGTTATAGAGTGCATTGGCGACCCAGGGGATGAAGGGGCAACCGTCCCGGGCGTTTCATTTACAAAAATAATAAAGTACTGTTTATTACCATCATGAAAATTTTGATGTGGGAAGGAGGAGATCAAGTTTTTGCATTTTGCCACAGGCATCACTTGGTCAAAAAACGCCAATAAACCGTATTTATGGAGCTGTTAAACACAATTAATTTTCAGTCAGCGACAGAGTGAAGAAAACGACGTTTTAACACATGTGTTCTGGACAATTTATTCTCCATTTCTCTCAAGGACCAGTATTATATATATATATCTATATAATGATTTCAGTTATCTTCCAAGGGAGTTACTATTATAAGATAAACCCAGACCAACATCACCAGGACTTCTGTTTGGCAAACTGGCAGAAGGAGAACAATTAATTGGACGGTCAAGTCTTTGCTAAAAAGAAAGATACAAAGTCGGCCAGCACAAACACCTACAACCCCACTGGAGGAATTTTTGTCCTCCATTGTGGCACAGTGAAAAGTAGAGGCAAATATTTGAACTTAGGTCAGATAAAAACTTAAATAAATGTTGTGTAAAACTTACAATGACTCTTCAAATATGTTTTAAGTTGGGTGAGTGCCTAATAAATCTACTACAGTCAAACTCCACATCTATCTTCAACCCATTTAACAAGACATGGAAAATGACAAAGATAATTATTTTGACATCAAAAAGCAGTCGTTTATTTTCAAAATACTACAAGTAAAATATAGTCCTGGTAATCAGCCAACTCAAGCTTAAAACAATAAACTTGAATAAGAATTAGGAATGGTTTGTCTGAACTTCAACAACAAGTTTAACCTGGACAAATGGACTAAAAAAACACAATAAAAGATATAAATTGTTTGAATTATCAACTGTACCACTGGCATTTTAAGACAAACAATAAATAAAACTAGACTAAGAAGTAAATCTTAAACATAAATTCTAATTTAATTTTTGTAGTTGACGTCTGCAGTCCTGATTATTTTATTAAATTTCACAATAGAGAAATTGGATTTATTCATGAAATGATTCCAATCAAAAAAATTCTCATATTTTTACAATACATAAATAGCATAAAAAGAAAAGGTTGCGCAAACAGATTATGGACGGTTTGAAACTTTCATCACAAAAAATTACTTCATATTTATATAGAATTCTGGAAAATCAACCAGGTCAAGTGTTCACTGTTTAAAATCTTGATATTAAGGCCATCTTCACGTTGGCTTTTTAGTTACACAATCATTATAGGTTAACTTTGTAGGTACACAATCATTATAATTTCAATTTGTAGATAAACAATGATTGTAGGTTAAGTTTGTAGTTACACAATCATTACACTTTCACCTTGTAGTTACACAAACTTTGTAGTTACACAATCATTACACTTTCACTTTGTAGTTACACAATCATTGTACTTCACTTTGTAGTAATACAATCATTGTAATTTAATTTCTTAGTTATACAACCACTATACTTTCACTAACTGGCATGCTGACAACACCAGTAAGAACAGGTACTGACTTTCCTTGTTTCAGAACATACACCTGAAATTGAAAGATACAACTGATTATATTAGCCAGTATAAAAGTTAAGCCAATAGTGACAAAGTAAAAATCAGCTATTTAAGTCTCACTAATTCAACCCTCCCATTTTTTATTTGTCAATTTTTTATAAAAAAAAGAGGAACATAAAATTGTATGAATAGCAAGCTGACCTTGAAATGATCAGCTATTCCTTTATCATTGAGACAGTCCACAAAAGTATTCTATTTGTCAAATAAAAAAAAAAAAAGAGGAACATAAAATTGTATGAATAGCAAGCTGACCTTGACATTATCAGTTATTCCTTTATCATTGAGACAGTCCACAAAAGTATCAAAGTCGTAGGTTAGTCCTGGAACCAACATTGGAACCTACAGAACAATTATTTGAGAGCATATTTTTCTTCAGACAAGTCATAATTGCTTTTACTTTTGTAAACATAAATTCTATGTACCATGGTTTCATTCACCATCCGCAGTTTGTAAATAAATTACCATATTTTTTAATATTTTTCATTCCTTACACATATTGTGATTCACAAAGACACTGTTAAAGGGAGGCAAATCTTCCCTTTGTTTTAAAGTCTTTGTAAATGTGTGATAAAATATTTAAAAATAATTAATAGAGAAATCTTTTGTCTCATTAACTCGAAAACATATACACCAATCAAGTCTAAAACCAAAAAAATATTTTTTAAAACTGATGAAAGAAGCGCTGCTACTAATAAAAGTTGAATTAAACGCCTAGAGGATGGAATATCATTAACAAATTAAAAAAAGTACAGCCACACACTGACCTGGATGAGTCTCTTATGAAAGTTATACAACTTGTCATCAAAGTCAAAAGTTATCAGTAGATCGGTTGTTGCTTGTGACAGAGACGTGTTCTGAAGTTTTACTGTAAACTTAAAAGTGGGTCCAATACCTTGAACCTGATCAGTAGCAGAAGATTTGGATCAGTAGCAGAAGATTTGGATCAGTAGCAGAAGATTTGGATCAGTAGCAGAAGATTTGGATCAGTAGCAGAAGATTTGGATCAGTAGCAGAAGATTTGGATCAGTAGCAGAAGATTTGGATCAGAAACAGAAGATTTGGATCAGTAGCAGAAGATTTGGATCAGAAACAGAAGATTTAGATCAGAAACAGAAGATTTGGATCAGAAACAGAAGATTTGGATCAGTAGCAGAAGATTTAGATCAGTAGCAGAAGATTTGGATCAGTAGCAGAAGATTTAGATCAGAAACAGAAGATTTGTTCAAAAATAAATATACCGATATTAAAAATTCATTAACAGTCTGGCAGCCTCTCAGGTTCCATCTTAATGAATTTATTATCAGATTGAGAGCTCTTTGTCCTTAAAAGCCTAGTTACTCACATGAGCACTAAGTTTGAGGGGTTCCATCGGATCAGAGGAAATCGGATTTAAGCTGTTGTCCAAGACTTTAACATATTCTCTCATCACCTTGAGGCGAAGTTGAGCTAAGTCTCGCTGGAATGTTCTGTGCATGGCTGGAAAATTGTTTAAAATGTATTTGTAGATGTGATAGACAAGAAATAATAACTTAAAACTGAAAATAAATTAAAAATTTAAAGAAGAGTAACATTTGGGATAAAGTCATGTCCTACGTCCATCCTCAAGAAGAGTGCCCCCCCCCCCCCCTCATGACACTAAAAAATTATTTTTTCAGAACAGTTGTGTCTTTTTATGTGTCCCAAGTAATTCAGTTTTTGTCTTTTGATATTGATCTAATTATCTCAGTTGCAAACAATACTCTACTTTTGTCACCTTTCTTCTAAATAATGCTCTACTTTTGTTACCTTCCTTGTAAACTATGCTCCATTTTTGTCACCTTTCTTGCAAAAAATGCTCTACTACTGTTAGCTTCCTTGCAAACAATGCTCTACGTTTGTCACTTTTCTTGCAAACAACACTCTACTTTTGTCACCTTTCCTCTTAACAAAGCTCTACTTTTGTTACCTTCCTTGTAAATTATGTTCTACTTTTGTCACCTTTCTTGCAAAAAATGCTCTACTATTGTTAGCTTCCTTGCAAAAAATGCTCTACTATTGTTAGCTTCCTTGCAAAAAATGCTCTACTATTGTTAGCTTCCTTGCAAAAAATGCTCTACTATTGTTAGCTTCCTTGCAAACAATGCTCTACTATTGTTACCTTCAGTTGTTCCCTTCTTTGCAAACAATGCTCTACTATTGTTACCTTCAGTTGTTCCCTTCTTCGCAAACAATGCTCTACTATTGTTACCTTCAGTTGTTCCCTTCTTCGCAAACAATGCTCTACTATTGTTACCTTCAGTTGTTCCCTTCTTTGCAAACAATGCTCTACTATTGTTACCTTCAGTTGTTCCCTTCTTTGCAAACAATGCTCTACTATTGTTACCTTCAGTTGTTCCCTTCCTTGCAAACAATGCTCTACTATTGTTACCTTCAGTTGTTCCCTTCTTTGCAAACAATGCTCTACTTTTGTTACCTTCAGTTGTTCCCTTCTTCGCAAACAATGCTCTACTTTTGTTACCTTCAGTTGTTCCCTTCCTTGCAAACAATGCTCTACTTTTGTTACCTTCAGTTGTTCCCTTCTTCGCAAACAATGCTCTACTTTTGTTACCTTCAGTTGTTCCCTTCCTTGCAAACAATGCTCTACTTTTGTTACCTTCAGTTGTTCCCTTCTTTGCAAACAATGCTCTACTTTTGTTACCTTCAGTTGTTCCCTTCCTTGCAAACAATGCTCTACTTTTGTTACCTTCAGTTGTTCCCTTCCTTGCAAACAATGCTCTACTATTGTTAGCTTCCTTGCAAACAATGCTCTACTTTTGTTACCTTCAGTTGTTACCTTCTTCGCAAACAATGCTCTACTTTTGTCACTTTCCTTGCAAACAATGCTCTACTATTGTTAGCTTCCTTGCAAAAAATGCTCTACTATTGTTAGCTTCAGTTGTTCCCTTCCTTGCAAACAATGGTCTACTATTGTTACCTTCAGTTGTTCCCTTCTTCGCAAACAATGCTCTACTTTTGTCACTTTCCTTGCAAACAATGCTCTACTTTTTTTTTAGCTCTCTTTAAAAACACACTGGTTAATTGTTGTCACAAATACTCACCTACTCCATTCTCTCTCTCCCTCTGTGTCTGATCCACAAACAATTTTGTTTTCTTAGGAACATTCAGTTTAACATTCTGTGATGCAGGAGGGCCAGCTGACATATCTTTCTCTTCAAATTTTGCTGTCCTCTTCAAAATTTTAACATACAAGCCTCCACCTGAAACATACATATTCTTGAAAATAGAACTTTTAATTAATTAATTAACCATGTTTAGTCTTGGACCTCAGAATCCTCACCACAAGTTGCAGTGTAAGAAGAGTATGAGTTAATTTCGAGCTCATCATAATCTTTCAGGACTTTTCATGCATGAAGGAATTTTTGATGTCACAATAAGTTTTTCAAAACAGTAAAAGTAACACCAACTGTTTAAACTTTACAAGACATCCTAATAAGATGAAACATTCATTCTACGACTAACATAATTATAAGATGAAATGTTCATTCTATGACAAACATCCTTATAATTTAAAATGTTCATTCTATGACAAACATCCTTATAAGTTAAAATGTTCATTCTATGACTAACATCCTTATAAGTTAAAATGTTCATTCTATGACTAACATCCTTATAATTTAAAATGTTTACTCTATGACTAACATCCTTATATTTAAAATGTTCATTCTATGACTAACATCCTTATAAGGTGAAATGTTCATTCTAAGACTAACATCCTTATAAGATGAAACATTCATTCTAAGACTAACATCCTTATAAGATGAAACATTCATTCTAAGACTAACATCCTTATAAGATGAAAAATTCATTCTATGAATAACATCCTTATAAGATGAAACATCCATTCTATGAATAACATCCCTTAAAGTTAAAATGTTCATTCTATGACTAAGATCCTTATAAGGTGAAACATTCATTCTATGACTAAAATCCTTATAAGATGAAACATTCATTCTAAGACTAAAATCCTTATAAGATGAAACATTCATTCTAAGACGAACAAGAAACTTAACTGGATAACAATAAACTGTGTTCATTATGTATGCTAGATAGAGAATGTCTCACTTCACATAAATATACAAAAATAAACAACTCTACATTCAATTGTAATTCAATCTCTACTTTTAGATTTCTAAAATCTTTCATGTCAATTAAGTACAAAATGACTTCTTTAATAAGACTTACGCTTTGTTGACATGACTAATGTCCCATCCTCCCTGCCAAATCTTCCAAATCGCATCCCCGTGACGATGTCATCCATTTTGATAATGTCCACCAAATATTTCTCTTTATAGATGTGGACTTCCTGGTTATTGAGAGCCACCAGGACGGCTGTGAAGCTCTTGGGCTTGTAGTCAATAGCTTCAATAGTGGTGATGCCGGCGGGCAGCCTCACTGTCCAAAGTTTCTTGCCCTAAAGATGAACAAACAAATATGAATCAGTGATTGAATTGAAAACAAATTAATTTTCACAATCATCACTTCACATTCTTCTTCAATTTAATAAATATTTATAATGTGAATCATGCATGTAAATAAAAATTGAATGTGGTGTAAAAATGACTAACTGTTATTTGTGCTGTAAAATTACCATTTCAAAGACTCATTAACTAAATCACTGAGAGCATCAATGGAACAAAAAATACATTGAAGATAGTGACAGAGCTTGGGTCAATGGCAAGACGCACAATCCATGGGGCCACTTAAAGACAGGATATTAAACTTGACTCACACTTTTTAATAATGGCAGTTTAAACATATTGACATTCTCCATGGATCTTTGACAGGGAGTAACTGCCCAGCTGTCAATATACTATTGGTGACGTAAGCAAATTAATATTTACTGGACTCAAATACACCTTGTACCTTTGATGTGAAACAGTGCAAAGTTTCATCCATACAACCAACATAAATGTTTTTGTTGACTCTCTCCATGCCGACAGGGTGAGAGTTCAGTTCTATCATGTTCCTCGTCACATCAGTGCTGCCTCTGGGAATACCGCAATTTATAAATAGCTCAGTATGTGGGTGCAACAGAACATTTGAAGGGATTGTCACGTTTTCAGAAATAAAACTATTTAAAGAATTGCTAATGAAAGTGCACTTCTGTTTACTGATAAAGCTAACTTCATAACAAAATGTTGATCTTTAAGTATCCAGCCTCTGTAGTATAAAGCAAGGATGAATATGCTTTATATGAATAAATAAATTAGACAAATATGCTAATTATTGGCATTAATGCAATAAAACAGAAAGTTAAAAACTGGCTTTCGAATGAAAACTATGTTGGAATGGTTCATCCAGAGAGGAAACATGATAGCACACAAAATGGAGGCAACATACTGAATTGTTACACGTGTTGTAAAAATCTTTAAGAAGGAAATAAAAAAATGAATAAATTTATTCTACCATTGATCGTACTCACCTCTTTAATGTGTAAACACAGCCATTGCGACAAGACACAACAATTCTATAATCTACATCAAATAATCCATTAACACTTAGAAAAACTGGAACATTTGGTAGGTTCATCTAGAGAAAAAATAAATATAAAGTTTGTGAAGTTTTTATGTTATGTTTTGTCCTATTCACTGGCTCTATCAATAGAAGCTGCTACATTCAACCACACTCAACCTAATAATTTCTAAACTATTACATTCAAAACCACACTCAACCTAATAATTTCTAAACTATTACATTCAAAACCACGCTCAACCTAATAGTTTCTAAACTATTACATTCAAAACCACACTCATCCTAATAATTTTTAAACTGTTACATTTAACCAAACTCAACCTATTCACAAAAAAGATTAAGTTTTATATATTGTTTCATATATTGTTACCCATATGCTTATTTTATTTAATGTAATAATGGGGGGAGCAAAGAAAATGCTTACAATCTAAATTTTTTGATACTCTCATTTAAACTCCTATAGAAGCAACCTTGTATGTATATTTGGAACTAAGTCTAAGGAGTGGTTTATATTTAGATGTGTTTTTATTGTAGGTGAGACATGTTAAAGTTGGCCAGAGTTTGAATTAATTTATTAGACAATGTGAATAAGTGACTCTTAGTCTCATTTATAATTGTTCAAAGAGTTGTTACCGTGGCTAAGACTGTGAATGCCTCAGGATCAAGAATGTAGATTGATTTGTTCTCAGTTCCAAGAACCAGACAACTGATGGCATCTTCATCAGCAACAGATTTCTTCATTGTAGCCAGACAAGTTATCACAGTCTGTGGATGAAGAATGTTTTTACAGCAGATTTCAGGTGGCTCCATTTCTCCTAAAAAGTCTGGGGGATGGAGGATTTTATTTATATTCCATTTACTTCAGATGTAATAACCAGCTCATAGTATGATCAATAAAGGTTTTTAATGTATACCAAAAAGCAATTCTAACAGAATCATTTGAATTAAGTTTTTATGAGTGATTTCATTAATCTACTTTTAATGTAAGTATTCTATTCAGACATAAATTGTACTAAGAGAGGATACTTATTTTGTACTCAATCTTTGTGGGTTTTTATAAAGCAGCTTGTTGCCATAAAAACTGAATGAGAAACAACAGATATTCCATCCTTTAAAGATATCAGCAAACCTGTTTTTTAAGAGGTGTGTGTTTGTGGAGATTGACAAAATTCTGCACATTGCCGATATCCATTTGAAGCAGACGCAAAGATCGGACTGTTAAAGCGGCACCTTCTTGCCTATGATTTTAAAAAATAATGAGACAACAAAAAAAATCATTTTGTGCTTTAACTTAACGACAGATAGAAGGACACTGGTACTAGTGTGGGCAAAAGACTGAAAACATTCACAAAAACCAAATTTAATGTAATGTAAATTTAATGGGACTTCTGTGAACACAAACCAGAATCTTCAAACCTCTAATACCAGAAAATGACACAGATGGTATCCCAACTAATACTGTGGGAACAGTGACAACCAATAGAAGCTTGGCAGCAGACATAATGGATGGGTTAAAGTCAACTGTGTGATGTCTTCCATTAATGAAACAGACTATAGTTGCCCAGAACATCAATTTATCAATATTTAATTTAATTATTCTATCACATTGGATGGACGATAGAATTTATTTTTATTTTTTAAGAACATACTAAAATAATTTACACAAAAAAAAAAGTCAAAAGTAAATACCTCAAAGTTTCCAACATTTCCCGCATACTGTGCACATTGACTTGTTCCTGAGATGAAGGTAAATTAAAGGTTATTCAACAACAGGGCACTTAAGTACAGATTGGAATATTGAATAGATAGGATAACAGATAAGACCACAAAAGTAAAACAGAAAAAATACATTTTGATTTCAAGAACATTGGGTCCGTAAGTGTGGTCCATTTATCCTTGTGGATTTACAAAGCCGTACTTTCAGGGGTCCACAAAAATTAGTTGAATTTGCATTTATTTCATATCTGCACTAATTAATTGAATCAGGAGTATTTAATTGTAGTGGTGATATAATTAGAACTAGAAGGGATCGCTAGACTATTAAAAGAACTGGTATCTTAACTGAATCATATTTATTCTAATTTTAGACAACCAAGTTAACTGAATCATATTTATTCTAACTTGATTGTCTAAAATTTCCCTAGCAACATTAGATCATCAAAAGTAAGCATTACGAGTGTCATTTGTTTTAAAGCTTTAGAATAGCACTGAAATTTAAGCATAAATTCTTAAAACTTCATACAGTTTGAAAAAAATAATAAGTAACTGAACCAAAGAGCAGTCTTTCACAACTCTAAACAATGTCTTTCATTTTCTACATTACTTATTATGGTATGTATTGAATATGTAATTAAATCATCAATTTATGTAAATATTTTGCTCAGACTAAGTGCATCAAGTTACATACATCCTTAACTTGATTCCATAAATCTTCTTCCACTGGATGGATTTCAAGTGGGGGCAGTGTAAACTTGAAATAAGGACGTAAATTCTTGTACACGTAAATATATGGACCAGAGGCAACTGCTATAGCTGCAATATCAAAATGACGCAAATCATGCAATAATCAAATTAAGGCACAATAGCTAGGAATATTAATCATTTATACTGAATTCATTCTAAAAAGCTACATGACAAAATAAGTATTTTTTTATTACCTGGAGTGCGTGGTGTCAGGGTGTCCATGTAAAAGGTGACAACTCCTGTTGGTAAGTCAATGATGGTATGCTCACTCATCAATGTTGTGTCTACAAAATAAAAAACAAACTTGTCTGACATGTAAAAATGTATAATTTTCCTTCATTTTGTATTACAAATACAAAAAAACTATACCATCTATTAACTGACCCCAACACACATTTGCTCTATTATCTGATTAAAAAAACATTTATAAAAAGGAAATGAAGTTATTTTCTCTTTTAATATTTTGCACTTTCTGAAGAAAATTATTTATTTTTTTTATTGGGAGAAAATTTGAATTCTTACCATACCATCTAACAATGCCCAGACATCAGTCAAAGCATTTAAACAAATTTTCACCATAAAAAATTTAATTAAACATACTAATCACTTTTTTAAATTTAAGAAAACTCCCAACCCTTTGAAACATTAAGCATCTATTAAGAAGTTCTCTACAGGTTACTGACTTTTGTAAACTTTCAGCTTCATGTCATAGCTGCCAGTGCCCAAGTCAGCAACAATAAGTTTCCAGTCTCCATCAGCTTGAATATCTGACAGGGTAAGACACTGTGTAAATGTGTACAGTGAAGCAACTGGATCATAGTAAGCATCCAGCCACTTTTCACTGCTGCTCGCCCTGAAAAAAATTTGACATTATTGGATAATTGGCCACCTTGATTAATTTTCGATCAAAATTATAGTTAAACTATGCGCTGCCTGTTGATATTTATATTATACTTAATATTAGCCACTGAACTTATTAGGCCTATTTGAATCATAAAGGATAATATATGAGTGACTGCTTTCAAGTTCAAGCTGTGTGAATTAAATAAATTGTGGAACAAGACATGTTTTGGCTTGAAAAGAAAATACAGGAAAATAAATGAATGTTTCGACTAGATGCCTTTTTGAGTAGACAATACAAAACAAGAAAAAACAGATAATTTAAATTAAAAGTAAGCTATTAATTTTTTTTTTTATAATATGTTCAAAATCTCAATAAAGTCAATGAAGCTCAATGTTCAGTACAGAAAGTGCTCTTTGTTATTGTTAGAAATGGAAGTTAAACTGTTCAAAACCAAAACATTCCTCCCACATTATTATGTGGTGTGTTCTAATAGTAATATCAATTTCAATGTAAAAGATATGTATCTGTGATGGATACACCTGATGTGCTCTTGTGTTCACCTCCATTAAAAATGGGATGAGACCAGGGGTGGCTTCATTGTTCAATATCCTGAAAATATTCAATGACTTACCAGATAGCCTTCTTTCCATTTCATTTATATAGCAGGAATGACATGTTCCCATTTCAACTAATGCATATGAAGCCCTCTTTGATAGTCAAGGTCCCCTAAGGGAAGCTATTGTGTTCAGTTTTCAGTACATAGGGACAAATCCTACAATGACTTATAGAACATGGTCTAGTCCCAAAGGTGAATGTGAACCAGGTCATATAAATTTGTATCCCCTCTAAAGACAATAACTGGAGGGGGTGAGATACCCTCTTAGTGTCAGGGTCTGCAAGGAGTATATGATGATTCTTCACAAATATTTTTTTGGCAATCACATTGTTAGGGTGGTAGGTAAAGGCTGACCAAAGTTCTGGTTTAACGACAAAAGTTGCCATATGATCATTTTAGGCATAGTTTTGATTTCGGCCAAAACAGAAAAGTTAACTTTCTGTTGATTTTTGGTTTCAGCCAAAAGTGATTTAGGCTTTCTGTCGTCTGCCAGAAATCAGTGAACATCTTTGGGATATTGCATAAAACAAGCCATCCCCAGTCTGAATGGCACTCTGTCTGTTTATTCATTATTGCTCAACGTCTTGCTATCATAGTATGATATGACTAATCTTCTGTAAACACTGCTCACAGCTGCATGATGACCTATTTGTCCAATATTTCCAAAAATAAAATTATGCTTAGGCAAAGGTAAACAGATTTGTGAAAAAACAACAACTAAGGACATGGTAATATTTTTGTTATATTTTTTTTGGTCTGCACCAACCCCCAAACGTGGTTAGTGAGCAGTTATTCAGTGCAGCAGGCCACCTGTATGCTGACAGATGCAGCAATCTACTGGGCGATAATGTGGAGAAACATTTCTGATTTTCTGAACTAAAAGGCTTTGTTTGACTTCATTGACTGGAAACCAGAAAATCAGTGACACTGTATTTGTAGGTAAGGATTATTTTTGAATTGACCCTTTTTTTTTTTAAAAACAATATTTAAAAGCCTCATTACATGTAATTGTGCAGATATGATTGAGTGCTAAAACAAGGGCGGGCAGTCACTGGATAAGATTTGGAGCCAAAGAAGTCTATCATTTCATTTGCACTATCACTAAAAATAAAAAGTCTTTGACTTTATCTGACTGATGTAGTCTAAAAAGTTGGGAAAAGGGTATGGTCTATGGAGTCTTTTCATGATTTGGGGTGGGAAGATGAATACAATAAATAACTATGGCTGTCAGTCGGTTCTAAGTAGGCAGTTGTGAATAATCCATTTTCTTTTAAGATAAGATAATAATTATTTTAATAAATAATATAAGGCAAGGCAAGACATAACATAAAAGGGCCTCATTGATTGTTATTTTATTAATATTATAATTTTCATTTCCTTGTTTGATATAAAATTTGGCAGGCAAATAACGATATTTTAAAGTAAATAAATTAGTATTAGTATCTTACATTTTCAAAATAAATATAAGTGCTTGGACTTGGCAATATTTCAGTGTATCAAAACCAAAATATTGCTATTCAGATGGTTGCCGATGAAAACATTTGGCCGCCATGATGTGGAAATTCAAACTTTAACCTACAGTAAACAAAACAATTTCAAATTCTTTCCTTATTTTTAATTGAAAAGAACAAATTGACATTTATATAATATTTTTAGGCTCAATATTATTTACAATAAAGTAAAGTTATTGATTAGAGTTAAAAAATTATTTGTTAATTAACTTTATTAGACCTATCACTATTATTTAAGAATTAATCATAATAATTAATCCGATTCTAAAATGTTACAGTTTGTAATAAAATATTACTTTTTATGTAGCTTGTGGCGTGAAAACAAAAAACGTTCAATTTTATTGACTTATAATTCTGGTATTAGTTGTATGTATAGTATAACAGTATAACTTTAACCACTTAAAGGTCTATAAACAGGGACGTCATTTGGGTAGGGCAGGGAGTCTTGCCCCCCCCCCTCCCCGGCCTTGAATTTGCAGAATCTATTTAAATTGCTATTCACGCCTTCAGTTATAAACAACTCAAAAAACCGTGCAAATGTTGATCCGCCTGCCTCTTAACTTACTATAACTATAAGTATAAGTATAATTTTGGGGTCAATTTCTGCAATCGCCCCAGCCCAATGACTACGACTACAGACTACTGCATTACTTAATTAAAATTAAACGACATCTACACTTATTTACATTTAGTAAATTTAAATTAGTTAGTTCAAATACATCTTGGTCTTGGTTTCTCGGTCAAGATATAATTGTGCACAGGGCAAAGACACACATTTTGACTTAATGAATTAAAGTTTTATTAATTAAGGTTAACTAATTATTGTGACACTTAAATTAAAATAGCCAAGAGCTAGGGCATAATTATAAATAATACTAATTGTAGGCCTTACTAGTTCTGATCATCCCAAATACTAAATACTCTTTCAAGTTCAATGATATAGGCCTAGATTTAGATAATATAGACAATCGTTTATCAAATTTTAAGTTTGGTGGTCAAGTTTTGAAACAGGTCAAACAGCACCATGAACCATGCGGTTCCAGATTTATTGATTATATTTATTTTTTAGTTGACCATTTATATTGATGTTGTCTGGACTGCCAACGCAAAGCACTCTTACCACCAATGGTTGATGTAGACATTATTAATATTTGTAATAAGTAAGGACTTGAACTTAATTATGAAAGGTTACCACTCATTACTCAAATTCAATTCAATTGGCAATTGAATGTTCAAACTTTTTGTAAAGTTATTAGAATATGCTTATCTTATTTAATTTTAAAGCAGCTACTCTTATTGATTCTCTGAATGTAACAGGTGGTTCTCAAATATACCATTGTACATAATGGCTAAAGCTATAAGCAACTCCACAACATCTAACCTTAAAGGTAAACGAAAAAAGAAGTCTCCTACCAACGCTAATCCCTTGTTTACACAATGGCTCACTGAGTGGAAAGATGAGGCCATGGAAAAGGGGTGGAAAAGTGCACACACCTACTCAAAGGTAATATTTGCTTGCACTTGGCGGACTTGGCTATATTAGGAGTAACAACTAACTTGTTGAAGATAATAAAAATTGAAAATCAAATTAATAGCTTTTCTTCTAAAATGTAATATGAATTTTTAAATGATTTGTGTGCTGATCCTTTTGTTTAAAAAAAATGCCTTTAAGTATCATAAGTTATGTTGCTTGGATTTATTTTATTTTGATGCGTTGTTTTTTTATCACAGGCTCTAAAAACTCTAAAACTGTTTCCACTTAGGCTAGAAACTGGCAGCGACTGTAGACTATTACAGAATTTTGGTGAGTTCTGACATTGTTTTTTAAATTAAAGGTCATCAGTGCTTTTGCTAGTGTTCACACCTCCCCACTCCTTTGCATCGCATTCGCCTTAATTTTCTTTAAAAACTGATCCTGCCACCATGCGAATTAAAAAACTTTGACCCTCCCCTCTCCTCCACTCAACATTTTGTAATATTTTTATTGCCAAATTAAAATACTACTTCTGTGCTGCTGTTAGAAAATGGTTATGAATAAGAGTTGCTATTATTTTGTGTACATAATGATGTCAGTTTGTTGATTTGTTTTGGTTTTTGTAGGTGAAAAAATATGCCAGATGTTGGATGAGAAGTTGCTTGAATATAAAAAGAATCAAGGTAATACTACTTTGGTGTTGTAGGGTGGAGGGATTGTATAAATTGTTATTCAATAACTTTTTTCTTTTAAAAATTAAAACTATTACAAGCAGTAGTAAATCCCTTACTTTGTCAATCATATTTTAAATATGTATCTATTTTTTGTTGTTGTCTTTTCTTTATCTGAATTTTAGGAAATTCACAACAACCAATGCTGCATAGTTTATCAGGTAGTGAGGAAGAAATCACATTACCCACTGCTGGTTATAAAAATTCAAAGCCTGGAAAAAAGAGATGCCAGAAAAAAGTCCCTAAAGAATTAGACGGATTAACAAAGCTGGCCAGTAGCTGTGTTGATAACCCAGTTGGAAATGAAGAGCCTAAATGCTTAAATAACAACTCAGCAACTCCCGCCAACTTTGGTTCTGGAGAAATGAATCTTTGTGCTGCTTCACTTGATAGAATGTCCCATAAGTTTCATGATATCAGTGACAGTTCGGACTGTGATACTGACTCTAGGCCAGTACCTCCCAAGGTAGTCCATTATTTTTTTTTTTTTCATTCAGAGCTCCTGAAAGTGTTTGTACTCAATTGGGTTCATTTAAACAGTGACATGACCATGATATATCATTATTTTGTATCATCTTCTTCCCCTTAACAGTTTCAACTATCAATTCACCATATTTTACTTAGAATATTTCATTTAAATTACAACTTGGAAATTGTACCAAATATATTTAGTTGTTATAGATGATATATATATTTGCTGTTCACTTTATTTGCATATTTTATGTACAGAAATTGGTCAGACGATCAAATTCTCAAAGTCGGGAGTATGTACCTGCATACAGATCAGGACCCTATGCTTTAATTCTAACTCTATATAGACATCATCAGGTAATACTGGAATAATTAAGTTTTTAGTCTTTCAAGATTGTTTTATGTAGCCTAGTATAGTGTAGGGCTTGGCTTATTTTTAAACTTCAACATAGAGCTATTTATAGCACTTGTTTCCACTAGTTGTTCGTCCGTCGAGGATCGACGAGGAACATCGAGTCGTCCGGTGACTGATGTATTGCGCGGGTGACTTTTGTTTAAAGTGAGGAAGAGTTGCGCAGCATCAACCTCACTCTCTCGTCCGGGCCCACCATATCCAGTGGCAAGACTCTATGTCAAGATGACCGGGGTGGGTACGGTTGCAGGAATTGTCATTGTATGCGCCTTACGGGACTCCCAACTCCGGGTTTGAATTCAGAGTTTCCTTTTCTTAGATGAGTTGCAAACCAAAGTTAACGAGTCTCATCCACCCGATGCTTAGTACAGCATACCTCATTTTTTTTTTTTTTTTTTTTTTTTTAACATATTTATTTTTTCGCCACCACCACTAAACTTGTCTGCTAGAATGACCTTGATATTGAAGTCATTGTGTAACTGTTGTTTCACTTCTTCCCTGCCTGTCCCTTTCTTGGCTGGGGAAAAGGTTGTTTACAATCAAATGCGTTCCATTTGTTCTTAAGAATGCCATTTGGTGACACAATTTCTCGATTTTCTTTACTAGACCTAGAACATTCAGATATAATTCCAATTTAAAGCCAGCTTGGTTTCTTTGTTATAGAGATAGACTTAGTGAGACATAGATAGTCATAGCAAGACTTAGACTTAGATAGACATATGGGATGTATTATTAATGTGTCCAAAAATTATTATTGTATTTTGAGGATTGTACCTTTTTCACTTGCTGTAAGTGTATACAATTTTTTTTTTTGTTTCAGTTCTGAAATTTGTATAGAAATTTATTTATATAATTGAATTAAATTTAGTTTTACTAGCTTTGGTATCGTTTTCTTTACATACTGTTAGATCAGTCTTTTGTTAGGTATTATTTCTTATATGAGCCAACTATTAATACAAATTAAATCTTCAAAACCATAAAGGTGCATAACAGTGATTAGTGAAAAAGCATTTAACCTACTGAAATTTGAATTAAGCTATGAAATGTAATTTCAATGATTTTTGCCTCCTGCTTGAGTTACAATGCATAATGTGTCACATTGGCTGTAAATATATGTAGTTGCAAATTAACAAATTAAAGAAACTTTCTTAGAAAGTGAAATTTCAAGTTTTTTAACTATTCAGTGTTATAATAACTTCTTAATAAGTTAAATTAAACGACAATATTATTTTGTATTCTGTGATATTATCTGTTTCTATAAGGATCCATTGTTCAAAGGTTATATGACTAAAACAGAATTGTCCCAGTCTGCCCAGCCACTGGCTGACAAGTCATTTACAAAAGTAAGAATTGAGTCATTGGGATTATTTTTAGAAACTAAGCCTTTCATAGCAGTCTTACAGAAGCCATTAAATTTTTAAAAAATTTTTTTATATAAATGTGTCACTTTTTAAAATTAATGAGGATTTAAATCCTTAAAGGCACTTAATGACTTAATGTTATAGTTAACTTGGTACATTGATAGACAATTTTTTATCCATAGTCGGCAGCCACTCCCTAAAATCAAGAAAGTTACCATATATCTCAACTACTTGGTGTTTTTTATGCAAAGTTATTGCTCGTATAATTTGTTACATTATTGGATCATTCATATAAAAAAAAATTAGTTCAACACAGAAGTGGTTTAACTATTTTGACTCTAAATTAATATTTATTTCTCAGCCAAACCCAGGCAGCCATTATACAGCATGGTCATCTTGTGGTACTTTGTTGAAGAAAGGTTTCATTCAGAGAACCAGCAGTCCTGCCAGGTTTTGTAATTACCCAGATATTTTTCATTAAATTAATGAATTGTTGTTTTTTTTCATTTCCCTTGGTCAGTCCCGAAATATAATTTTGTTTAAAAAGAAAACACTTGCCATTTTATGCAATAAGTCACTTATTTTTGTATCTTCCTTAAATATTTTTTAAAAATATTTTTGTTTGTTACTGATCCAAATTGAAAAGCTTTATTTCTTTTCTACTCAAGACAACAAGTGAGAGTTATTTTCTATGCAGCTTTTTATAGCAACAATTTATTAGTTACAAACTTCTCTGCAGCATAAAATTGTAAAACAGATTTTGAAAGCTCCAGACATGGCATTAATATTTAGCAATAAATTGAAGTACTTGATATAAGGACTAAAGTCTTAATTCTATTTTTCCTGCATTTTATTTTTGATTCAATATATTTTTCCCATTTTCTATTTCTGCTATTTTATATTATGGCTATATTCTTTTTTTGGTTCTATTTTCTTTTACCTTTTTTTTTTCCATTCAGGTATTCTCTCACAGCCACTGGGATTGTATTGGGTGAACAGCTGAACAGAGCCGAGGAGTCCCACGGTGTCAATCAAGAAGGAAATGAGGCAGCTGTTGATTTGGTAATGATTGATCCCACAGTTTCCACACTGTCATCAAAAGAAAATGTTGATTTGGATGATGTCATCATTTCTTCTGATGAGTCACTTTCACCGAAGAAATTTCTGAAAAGCATTGATGAGACTTCAAGTAAAGTACCACCAGTTCAAGGAGAATATGAGCTGAAAATGAAAAGGCAGCAACTTAATCATCCTCAACCCCCAGGAGTTGAAGATGTTGTAGAGATAAGTGATGAAAGTGATACTGATTGTAAAATGAAAGGCGAAAAAGTTTTGAAAACCAATTTTAATGACAGCTATGATGAATTACCAGACCTTGATCTCCCCCTCTCTGAGAGACTTTTACAACGTGGCAATATTAAGTCGAGTTTAATTACTAAACATCAAACCGATTTGTGCAGTGTTCAGCCTCCATTATTAAATTCAGCACTGCTATCTAATCCATCAGGCATATGCCCTGTCCTACCTTTATCAGTAAATCAAGGCTCTGAAAGTGAAAAGAAAGGATCTTTTCTTTCAGTTAACAACATTAAGCATGATCCTCCTTTGGTAAAGCCACCAAGGCCAGCAACAAATGCGCCTAGCAATCATAAAAAAAATGCCACAAGTGCTGAAATAAAACATCTTCCAAGTAATCTTCAATCTGCTCCAGTTTCTGTGTCCACGTCTCAATACAGTACTCCGTGTCCTGAATTCTCATTACAGCCTGGAACATTTGACATCATTTTGTGTTGCGATAACAGGGAGTTTTTTGGAAGGTAGGAATTTGATTGCAGGAAATGCAAATATTAAAGTTTCATGAACATTAAAAATAATAATTTAAGAAATGGACTTAATATAATACTATTAAAAAAGCACCTGGATTTATGTTAATGGAATAGTAATGATTTCCAAATAGAAGACGTATAGAGATTAGCATTGGGGCTTATCAGAAATTAACTTCAAGCTCATTAGGTATGACCATTTAAAAATGTTTATTTAGTAAATATATATTATTCCTTTACCCATAAAGTTCAACCCTACAGCAATTTTAATTTTTGCCTAAAATTATCCTTAAAGATGATGTTCAATTTTTAATACATAATTTACTTTTCAGTAAAAGCAACAGTAAAACTCTTCTCCCAGATTTAATGAAAAGTGGAGTTCAGTGTGACCTAAGGTTACTTCATGTAGGGGACTTACTCTGGATTGCAAGGGAAAGAGTTGCACCAAATATTGACAGGTTTGTAGCAAGTATTGACAGCCATATACCAATACTTGATAGGATTGTACCAAAGTTTGAAATATTTTCAATTTTTCACAACCCTTTAAATGAATCGAAATTCAACATTTATAAAAGATGTCATAGATATGGTAAAGTGATCTTATTTTCTATTTAAAAGAACATAATCTGTGGTAATGTTATAATAATTGTTTTTAATAAATTGAGTTGTTCTAAGATCAACATAAATTAATAATGCTTGTTTTTTTTTAAAGGACAGGTGTTCTTAATCCACATTTTTGTTTTGTTTTCTTTCTAAAGAACAAACAATTAAGTTCAATATATCTGAATATCTCAGGCAAAAGTGAACCAATGTACTTATTTTGTAAAGGAAATTTATCACTTGTTATTAAAACTAGCTTCACTGCTAAGTTGTGCCTTACTTTTATCCCCAGAGAACAAGGCAGAGAGCTGGTCCTTAACTATGTTATAGAGAGGAAACGAATGGATGATCTCGTCAGTAGTATAACTAATGGACGTATGAAGGAACAAAAGGTTGTCTAACAAAAAATATTGATGCTCTTTACAAATAGAAGCAATACCAAATAGGTTCATTATTTTAAATCTTATTTTACATTAGAAGAAAGGTACATCATTGTCATTTCAGATTAACTTGCTTGTTTCTACTTGTAGTACTTATATAGAAATAATATAAATAACATTCTGATTCATAATTAAATCATACTCTGCAAATCTCTAAAGCAATTTTACCAAACCTTAGTTGAAGTTTTCCGGAACATTGAAAAAGTCAAGTTTATTGTAAAGCTTTACAGTCTCAACCTACTGCCTCAAATTAGATACATTTAATTTTCCCTTTATGCTTGGACATTACTTCTATATTCTTTGAAATGAAGATGTGCTTATGAAACACTGTTTTCACATTATTTTAAGTCTAACAAAGTTTACTCTAATTTTTCTAACGCAAGATTTGATGAAGAGTGCACAATTTCTGTCTGCAATAAAGTGAAGCAAAGTTAGCTATGCATCCTAATTAAATAGGTTTGCTGTCCATTACTATGGTACATGCTGTGCATTACACAAACAAAGCGTAACTTAATTTGTGCATGTAAAGTTTTGAGACAAAATATTTTTATTTTTTCACAATTTACGGGGTTAGTATATTGGAAGAAAAACTGAAACACATACATCTTTAAAATATTATTAGCATGCTCTAAATCAGGCCAAACTACAGCCGGCGGGGCTCTCTCAGGCCTGTGGAGACCTTTTTATATATGGAAAAAAATTACGGAAATTTACGTGTACCCTGCTAAGATCAGCCTCTGCTTACGTAGATGTTATGTTTTTACCGAATTAAAATAGAGGCGCGCATTAACGCATTATGTTTTCCAACCAATCACTACATTGCAAAACCTTATTTGCTGCTTAGTTTTTACCAGTTTTTGCCTATGGAAAAAAATTACGGAAATTTACGTGTACCCTGCTAAGATCAGCCTCTGCTTACGTAGATGTTATGTTTTTACCGAATTAAAATAGAGGCGCGCATTAACGCATTATGTTTTCCAACCAATCACTACATTGCAAAACCTTATTTGCTGCTTAGTTTTTACCAGTTTTTGCCCAAAGAAGACTTTCCTAATGTGAAAAAAATTTGCAACAAGGTACCTTTCAATCTTTTGAACAACATACCTATGTGAACAAACATATTTGGGAATGAAATACGTGAAGAACAATTTGAGAACAAACTTGTCCGATTGATAACCTCAGGTCACTGTTGATGTTAGGGACTTCAAATCTGAAGTCAGAAATGTCTGCTCTTTTGGAATCCAGTAAACAATTTCACCATTCCCACTAATACAGGGGTACATGTGTAGTGTATCAATGTGTTATTAAATAATAACTGAATAAAATAATTATTAAATAAATAATTAAAAGCAACATCCATGTTTTATTTTTTTTTAATTTGGACCTTGAGTGTGTAGTCTGCCCTTTGGACCTCGAGCTGCTGGTTTATGGTTAATGCGGCCCTCGGGCTGAAAAGTTTGGAGACCCCTGCTCTAAGCAGTTGGCTTTATAGGATGTGCATACTTATACGGCTTAGACTGAACATTGGTATCTTTTCATTTCTGCATATTAAGTGGTCAATAAGACCTCTATAGATGTAATTTTGTTTCATAGCATGCAATTTATGTAATTGATCTTTGCATATTTTTTTTTTTTGCTGCTAGTTTCGCCTGAAACATTGTGGGTTGAGTGAAGCGATTATTCTCATAGAGGAATATGGACCAATTCAAAACTTTAGCCTACCGGAAGAGAGGATTAAACAATCTATTGTTAATTCACAGGTAATTAATTTTTTAAAAATTTAATTTACTTTCATTTACAGTACTTAAACATTTTAATTGTTAATTTTTAATTATCAAATCATTAAAAAAAATATTTGTTGCTCACATATTTTAAGTTTTAACCCTACGACAGATTAAATACAAATTTAATTAACCGAGTATGTCTTAATCTAGTGTGGCCAAATTTTGTTAAATGTCTAATTAATATCATAATTTTCATTTACTTTTCTGTTTAATAATTTGCTTACATTATTAAATTTTAACATTGACTTACTGTTTAGTATTGCATGATGATTTTAATTAATAGATTATTGATGGCTTCAAAGTGAGATTTTGTAGTGGACCATCTGCAGTTGTTACATATTTATCTACCATGACAAGATTTCTTCAACAACATTATAGTGTAAGTATTCTATGTTTGTGAGGATTTTTTAAAACCTATGTTTAATGTCAAACCCTTACCCATGAAGGTTCTTCATTCCAGTTGGTAATCAGAATCACAATTTGAAAAAAAAAATTATGGCAAACAAAGAATTTTGTGCTCTTCTTTCACAGTGTAGCAAGGTGGATGTGACCTGTCCCTTTTACTTATGAAAGCTTTCAGTTTTACCCAGTACAAAAATGTATTCCTTTCATGCTTAACCAGATTTGTCAATGGTGAATTTGTTATGCCAAGCTATTACCACTACACTTTTAAACAGAAATAAGAAAAAGTATTCACTTTTGTGACACATATTTTATAAATTTATGCTGTAGGTCATCTAAATGCTGAGAAGGGATGATAATCATTTGTTTTGCATCCTCTTATTGCAGTGTTTATCTTATTTGTATTTCCCACTCTGTTAATCTTTTATCTTAGAATAACCATCTGTGTTCTTTATTTTCAGACTAAAACTCTTCATGCTGTACCAATAGATGCTGCGAAAGAAATGAAAGGACAGCAGCATATACAAAACAAAGAACAATTCCTCATTCAATTCCATGATTTTAACCAGGCTTCTATGAAGCACAAAGTATGGATGTCATTAAAATTTATTTTTCTTTATGTTTTGTAATAACAAATTTCATGGGAACAGCAGCCATGACTTTGCAAGATTGCCACTTTTTTAAAGATATTTTTTAATAATAATAATTAAAAAATATTTATTATCAGGTGTAAATAGAAAATTATATGTTTCAGTAATGATTTATATTTATTGCATGTTTTTTGTTTAGGATCTGACCGTTAAAGAAATGTTTGGGAGACAGTTAATTCAGGTTCCAGGCATTTCAGCTGAAAGAGCAAGAGCGATAACAAATGTGTATCCAACCCTCAGCACGTATGTGGGACACATTTCTAATTATTTGACATGGACAATTTAATAAACAATCAATTAAATAAGTTCTCCTTTCTTGTAGAGGTCTCATGTTAAAACTAGATATCCTGTATCAGTCTCAAATTTCACTAATCCTCTGTAGTAATCTTATGTGTCCTAACAATCTTACAAAGAAACTCAAACAAACATTTTCATTTATAAAGATTTCTTTCGTTATCAAAATAGAATCTGAATCAAATTTAGAAATACATAACTCTGTTAGTAAGGATGGAAATAGAAGTATAAAATATTTGTATTTGCAAGTTGTTTAAATTTAGTTTGCAAATTGGTTCACTCAGTTTGCAATTTTTTTAAACTTAGTTTGCAACCTGCTTAAACAAAATGTAAAAAAAAAAAAACTACTTTATTGCTATTTGTTTATACTTTGTGTCCAGGTTGTTGGAGGCTTATGAAAAATGCAAAGATTCAAAAGAAAAGGAAAAGTTACTAGCTGGCATTAAAACAGGAAAAAAAGAGAGGTTTGTTTTTTTATAACCACTTTGCACCATAGTTTAAGATCAAAGTAACATTTGTAAAATCTTGATCAGTACCATAATTTTGTTACAATTTTTTATTGTTACAATACAACTTTTCAACCTTAGCTGTTGTTAAACTACCCATAAATATCATGGTTAACACAATATGAAATTAGTTAAACAATTAGTTGCGTTCATTTTTCAGGTTTTACTAATTCCATAAATATGATGTTATCCATCTGATTCACTTCCCACAGAAACCTTGGAGCATCTCTGAGCAAAATGTTGTTTCTTCTTTACACTCAAGAAGGGAAACTCTCCTGACAACATTTTTACCTCAAAGCTAGTTACTCTTGGATTGAAAATCTCCTGACTTTCAACACTGAATGGAATAGTCTGCAGTTGGTGCCACACAAAATAAAATATGTTATCTTATCTAAATATTTTTAAGTGAGTGGGCACAAGATCCTCTCAGGGATGGAGAAGTAAAGAAAGGAAGGGGGTTGAAGTAACAGTACATTATAAATTGTATAACCAAACGGGAAGCGTTATTCATAAACTTTTTGTTGAAATCATGAGTTGAATAATAGAATCATTAAGTTGTGATTTTTGTTATAGTGAATGTATTTAAACTGAGAATGGCCTGTACTTTGAAGGCTAACACTTGAAATAAAGAATAGAGTTTCAAATCCTATTTAATGAAATGATGGATATCATGATTCATAATGGCATCTTCTGACGACGCACATTTTGTAAGCAGTTTTGGTGACACTGGCACATTATGTTAATGAGTTGTATGGCATCTTTCCGTCTGCGGGAGACGATAGATTATCTTTATTGCTTGCAGCTCTTGGTGTGGCTGGGGAGACCAATCCTCCAATGGCAGTCTCTGTTACATTTCCCACACACGAATAAGGTGGAGCAGTATTTACCGGCCTTCCTCCTCGCTCTTTTTGCAGCTGTTTCCGCCCTGTTTTGCTCCTCGGCATGTAGTGATCCTGCCTTCACGATGTCCCGCCATGAGGATCGATCCTCTGCCAGCTCCTCCCAGCTTGAGATGTGTTAATGAGTTAATGTGGTAATAATGGGGAGAGACACATTCATTGTTTTGTTGTTACTTTGTCAGGTTTTCACATACTTTGTTTTACTCATTTCCTTTTTTTATTATATTAATGTGCAAGCCTTTTATTATAGTAACTATAGTTTTAAACATGCATTTGCATCACAATAGACTTGGATGATGCATGAATTAATTTGTTTATGTTCTCACAGCCACATGTAACAAACGATGTAGGCTGCTACTTTAGTTTTTTTAAAGAATTTTTGACGGTTTCTTTATCTTCTCAATTGCTGGCAACATTTACTTTACTTTACTTACTTGGGAGGTTTTTTTTTTATAGTGAAGAATAGGAGTTACGTGGATTTTTTTGACATGGTTTATTTAAAATAAGACATATTCATATCCTCTAGATTGGAACACAAATATGCCATCTTGTGAACAAATGACAAGGATTTATTTGGATCAATAAAAAATATCTTATTTTGTAAATCCTGCTCTCAAAAAATAAAAAATGTGTTTTTTATACTCTGATGACTTTTGTTAAACTTTAATTGAAATGACATTGTCAAGACAACATGTCATGACTTGAAGGAATTGAAAGGAACTAAAGGCTGTCATCTTTGTAGCCATGAATGTGTTCTTGTTATCTTAGGAAGGAAACATTTAAAAACAATAAGCCTGACTCAAACTCAAAATTAATTTTCAATGTTTAAGCATCTTTTTTTTTTTCACTGGTTTCATCCAGTGATGTGGAGAACCCCAGGGTGCTCCATACTTAAGGGTGCCCCATACTGTTGTCTTAAGGGTGCTGCAAAACTCTGAACTAAACCTCTCGACCAAAGCAATAATACAATTCATTATTTTAAATGTATGGTTAGCTTGAACAAATATACCATAAATTTCCCACGTTAATGTGTCCTGTTTGGGGAAGGATAGCAATGTGCAAGCTACAAAGTAATTTTAACACAAACAGGTAATCTGGAATGAGAGGCCGAGATAATAGTTTTAACAGGATGTTTGAATGAACACTAGAAATGAAGTGCATGTTAAACAAAACATTCCGGACACTGTAGTGCATGTGAAAAAGTTGTCTACGCATGCCCCGTAACTCTACATGGTATAATCTTCCTAAATAGACCTAGAGAAGTTAACAGTGTCTGGCCATGGAGTTGCAGTTCCTGCTGCACAATTCACCGATGAACATTAGAGTTAGAGGTTGTTTCTCTTTAGCAGTTGGGGGAAGGTGGGCATTGTTAGAGTTGTCGACGTTGACTTTTGCCGCCCCTCAAAGATAAAAACCATAGAATTATTAGAAAACATATCACTCTTCCTACTCCAGTGTTCTTTATTTAGCCTTCCTGTTGTTTTTTTGTTGTTTTTTAACATGGCTTGCGTTTTGTATTTGCTGATCCTGTTGGACAGCAAGGTACCATTCGAAACTTTTTGCAGCACAGGCCTCTAACTCGTTAGTGTTAATGCTGACCGCACTTAAAATCTTTTTTTTTTTTTCTTGTCACTAGAAAACAGGGCTATTTAAGTTGGTTGAGCCACCTGCCTGTTCCGAGTATTTGCCGTACAGCAAGTCGTTGTGAGTGCCGCGTGTTCTTCTTTTGACCTGTGACGTTCCAGGACTTCCTGTCACTGAATGCATAGGTACTCTCGCACACTCCTCACGCTGCTGAGCTTTCGTCCGCGCGTATTTTCCACACCTCATTGGAAAGAGAGCGCGAAATGGTTTAAAAGGGCACGTTCTTATTACAGTTGAAGATTATCGGGTACGTTCTTAAAATCGTGTCCTTAATGATGTACAGTAGTGCTGCCCAACCCACGGGGGCATGCGGCCCGCAAGCTAATTGTACATGGCACGCCACAGCTTGACAACATGTTCAAACCCCGTTTCGTTGATTCAGTTATGGGAAATCACGGAGGACGTTTTATCGTATAAGAGGGGGGGGGGGGGGGT